AAAAAAAAAATATTTCATGCTATATTATTTAAAAACTAAATCGTAATTGCGTACTATAATTGTGTGGCGAAGTCCAAAATATTGGTATAGATTCTGTGTGAAAGTCACAGTATTTTATTGAAAATAAAATACACTTTTGTAAAATATGGGTTTCAAATTTAAATATAATTAATATAATTAAATATGTAATAATATTAAAAGCATTTGTATACTTGATGAAAAATTATCGATATTTTTTAAACTTTTGCTAACTTTGTGAAAAAAAAGATTTTAAGAGATAAAGGGGAGACTTCAATCTTTAAAAACATGATGATTTAGTTAAAAAAAATTTTCAATGCTTATAAAGACGTTTGAATTTGCAAAATTTTCAAGAGAAAAGTATTTTTATTTAACATTTTCCACAATAATGTAAAAATACCTTAAAAATAACCAACACAGTATTGTAAAAGTAGTGTGAAAGTACTGTTAAAACTTTGAAAAGAATACAAAATTAATTGCTCTTTCTACGATTTCTTAAGAAGTTATAGCAATCTAAAGTGTCGGCAATAAAAGACAAGTGTCGATAATAAAAGAAGCAGTATAAAAATAAACATAGAAATAGATAATAAAAATAAACATAGAAGAAGATAATAAAAATAAGCATAGAAGTAAATGACTATAAATTAGTATTATAAATTAATTGTAGAATATATAGTTAATTGAAAATATGTTAAATAAAGATATAAAAGATATAAATTAATTGTAATTCAATTTAATTGATATAAATTGATATAAATTACTTGTAAAATATACAAGAATTGATTGTAGGACCATGTTGAATGATTGTGATGAGAAGCAATTTTGATAGAAACTGTGCAGTAATGTATTGTTTTATTTCAGGAAACGTCGTCATCATTGGTTCGACGTTGTGCCCAAGACTGAGACCTTTACCAGCGACTCCAACTAACGTCTTTCTAGGTGGTTTGGCAACAGCCGATCTCCTTCTCATACTCTTTTGCATTCCCGTGAAAGTGAGTCTTTTATTCAACATTTAATTCCTAATTTTTATTCAGTAAAACAGTTCCAAGGACAATTTTTCTAAACTCCAAAAAAACAGAATAATTTTTATTCAATAATTGCTTTACGAAGCAGGTGGAAAAAATTTT